GGGCCTGCGTGTATGGGACACATTCACATATGGATAGGCTTGCGTATGTGGGACACGTTCATATATGGATAGACCTGCGTGTATGGGACACATTCACATATAGACAGGCTTGCATATGTGGGACACGTTCATATATGGATAGACCTGCGTGTATGGGACACATTCATAAGAGGATGGGCCTACGTGTATGGGACACATTCATATATGGATGGGCCTGCGTGTATGGGACACATTCACATATGGACAGGCTTGCATATGTGGGACACGTTCATATATATATGGACAATTTTCTTCTCACTTTCAGCTTTCATTTTACTCCATTTAATCAGTTTCTTTTCATTCGAAACAAATCCTTCCTTATATTTTAGCTTATCTTTTTTCCACCTAGATCATATAACGGAGAATTTGATAATATATTTAATCAAAACAATCAATTAATAAAGCAGCCAAGTGAAATCAGTTACTTAATAGTTAATACAATATGCTTTCCCATTACTGACAACAAGTTTTTTTGTTATCATAACAGCAATGATAAGAATGATAATGTTAATAAAATAGTTAATTTACAGGATTTGCAACAACAATTGGTAATGCGAAAGATTTTAGTGAAATTGATTTGGCAAAAATTAATCGAATGTACGGATGTTCTGAAGCATACCTTACATCATTACAACCAAGAGCTCAGGTTATTAAACCTTTTCCGAAATTGTATGATTTAAAATGAGCTGATATCAGCAATGAAAATTCAATGGAATGTACCGAATTTAAAACTGATACTATCATTATATTTCGGATAAATAATACCAATCTTCTAACTGCGATATCTTAAAAGAAAGACAGAGTAGAGGATGATGAAAAAGTTGAATTGATTCAAACATTTAAAGTTTCAATTCATATTTCATTACATTTCAAAGTTTCTATTTGGAATTTCAAACAAAATCAAAAATAGCTAATAAATTTGCTATCATTTAAAAAGAAAAAAAAAGGATAAAAGTAAAATTTTTACAATTCGAATAAATAATGTTCCAATATTTTAACTTTTAAGTTTGAGTAAAATAACTAATTAATTATTGCTACTAGCATAGCAATCTGATCTTCATAATTGATATCCGGAAAGCTTACAAATATAAAGAATAATTTATACTTCGGTTTTACAATCCGGTAATTTTTAAAAGAACATTAGTATCGACTTTTCAGATTTTTCATGTAATTCCTATTCTTTTCCTAAATTGAGGAATATGAATTTTTTTTTTTAAAAAAAAAGAAAAAACTATTTTATGAAAGAATTGAAAATTTTACAGAGTTCAGTGATTTATTCACCACCATCATTAAAACGATATGATGTGCTACCAGCTATTAATGACCGATACTTTGATAAATTTTCCACGGAAATGGGCCATAAAAGTAAATTATTGACCATATTTTGTTAATTAATTAAAGTTAATTTCTTACAGGAAAATGGAAAATGTTCATAAAAGAAAATTGAATTGAATTGAACAAGAATGGTAATTAAAATGAAATTTTTTTTTTTTAGATTGTAAGGATCGCATAGCTGCATGCTGGATGACCCAGGATCGATGTCATTCTCAGGCTTTATTTTTACTCATGAAAACATTATGTGCCAAAACTTGCAAATTATGTTAGAATTAACCTTTTTTGAAGTTTTCTTTTCCCTTTTGGAAAGTTCTAATAAATTTTTTTCTTTTTTTTTGTTATCGGTCTCTTTCACCTATTTTTAGATTCCGCAGTAAAGCTATTCATTTACCAGTTGATCCAATTAGTTATCAATTAAAATCCGTATCCTTACAATGACCATCTGTTAAATCATATGAATAAGGTCACGCTTTAAATTTTCATTCGTAATGATGAGAATATTAGCCATTAAATGGTATGATAAAGGTCAAGATGTCAATCAATAATTAGTATGATTAATAAGGCTTTTGAGCTTATATGTTGGACACGAAATTCCTGCCAAATTTTCTCTCATATTCATTCCCAAATGAAAGATTACGGATACAAAACACTTATCATTTCCCGTTTTAAAAATATTTATGTAAATTTTTGGAACACAAACGAATAATAGCTGGATGGACATTTTTCAGGAATAGTTAGATCGTTCTAAACTTTCCCTTCAGAGGAATAAATTGAATGAGTAGGCATTTCATTCTTAAAAATACGAAAAAGTTTTGGTATCGTACAGCACAGACTTGAGGATGGAATTTAGGATAACAGGCTAAATTTCTATGATCCATACTAAATCAACAAGAACGCTTAATTGTATAATTATAGCTCAACAATAAATATTTCAAATTGCAATCTATAATTGGTAATGTATGACTTTTATTCCTGTAAATGTTGGCTTAAGATATCAATGCATAAAAGCTTCTCGTTTTATTAGCCGATTGAGAATTACGGTTTATCAATCTTTCCGTGAGGTTATTACACTTCTCGATTTCAGAACCTGGATAGCTCACCTACAAAACCATTCCATTAAATTTGTTCCAATCCTGTTTTTTATATCTTTGCTCTATCACTTGATTTTTTTTTTATAAATCGTCTTCAGGATAGATAAGTAATAACATTTTTTTTTGCGATTTGAATAAATGTTACATTCGGTTTTTACTTGTTATTTTGTGATTCATAATATTAAAAGGTTTTCACCACCTTCGGTAGCGAGATTTTATTTTTCAACTTCTTTGTTGCTAATATTTCCATGGGACTAAACTTATGACTTGAAAGGTCAGAACTTTTGACATACACATGATCTCATGGAAGAGTAAATTAAAACACTTCTCATGATCAGAATCTATAGTGTAAATCAAAACATACAAAAGTACTTTACTGATACAACTGTTTTAATTTATTCAGAAAATTTTTCTGGAAAAAATTCACGTCAATACAAGAGGGACGACAGTTAAACAAATTTCAGGTAATGGAATAACTAAATTTCTTGTTCGGACAAAATGGCGGCATAAAAGATTTTAGCTTTAAAAAAATTTGCCGAACTTTTGGAAATTCTTAATCTTTTTGTAGGAAAAAGAAAATAATTTTGATCGCTTTTTTTTCCAGGACTACGTTAGTACATTTCTTATTAACATTTGGAAGTTTGTGAATACATTAAAAATACATACACGAAATAAAAATTACAGTACGTTTAAGAAATATGCTATCTAGAGACCATTTTAACTTTTCCATCCGGTTCGCTCTTTTAGAGCAGAGGAAGAAAAGAATCCATTAAAACACAAACCACTCCTAGGTTTAATCCCTGAATAAAAACGATGAGTTCGAAAAGAAATTCGAAAGACTTTTGCTTCGAAGATAATTATAAATCATAGATTAGTAAAAAAAAAAACCAAAATTAAGGTGAAATTAATGAATCTAAAGCTTTTTAATGATTGTCTTGAAAAGAAAAAAGGCACCACAGTGAATTTTCATAAATAAAATTATTTTCCAGGAAAACTGCAAAACAGTACTATATACAAAACACGTCGGATGATGATTCCTATTACAGGTATTCCTCTGCATTCCTCACAGCCCTAAAGTATCGACAGCAACAGTGCTAATTATGTATTCAGGATGTGCTCCTTTTCAGCTAAAAAAATGCTGGAGGAATAATAAAAATTCAGGGAATTTTCAAGAGTAAAAGCAGCTTTGACCTGAAGATCTTACAATACGAAATATGGAGATCAGTTTCAAAATCAGGGTAATAAATACAGAAAAAAAATGAAAAGTGAAATTAAAAAAAAATTACCTTACTGTAAACCAAATCCACGACTATAGCTAATTGCTTTGGTAATACGCTCTCTTGTTATTTCAAGATCTCCATAATCGGGTAATAACATCACATTGTAGCAAGTATGAGCTGTTGGCAGTCTGAAATCATTTTAAATTCTTAGCACAAATATACTTTAGGTGAATCAATGAAAAATATTTATAAAAGTCCCGAGTAGCAAGTCTCAAAGTTATTTCAGAATTCATGAGGTCAATAAGTGCTGAACCATCAGATCACTATTATTATTTGAAAAAAAAAAGCAATAATCGCAACTTTTTGGCACCAAACTGAACTATTCAGAATAGCTGAGTAGAGTAACATCTAAAATCAAGTTGTGATGTTATAAAAAAAAAATAAAAGAAAACCGGAAACACAAAATATATAAGAACACACCTCTCCTTATTATCACCATTTCGAGCAATAATGACCTCTAATTTTGCTAGACCTCCTACAGGAACTCTATCGGAACCTGTGATGAACTGAAGCAACATTTTTTTTTCCTCCGTACTCATTGCCTTTGCCACTGTCCAGAAATCCTAAGAAAAATTCGTTAACTTATAATTATGAACAAAATAATTAGATAAAATCATCCAGTTATGCTCTGAAGTGCTATTACAATACCAACCTTCACTGTCTGACTGGTTTCAGTAAAACCGTTTTGATATTTTGTACAATGCGCAAGTATATCGAAATCCAAATCCTAAAATATATTCTGGAAATCAAATTCAACACAATAATTCCTTTCAACAATTCTAGCACAAAGATCACAGCTGATTATATTAAGGAGGACTCCACGTACACGGCAATATGTAAAAAAGTAAATAGACAGAAAATACAAAGAAGTTCCAGTAAATTTGAAGAATCTTGAAAATTTGAATTCCCATGTCAAGTAAAAAAAAGGAAAAACAAAAAAAAAAAACTTACAAGTACACCACAAACTAACTGTTCGACTTCATCAGGCATAAATAATCTCCTTAACAATCCGCGGTTAGCTACTTTATTAAAGCCCATACTAAATGCATCAAATTGCCGTCTCACCGAACGATTTAACAAGAAATCAGCATAACACGCCACAAATTTCTGAAAAAAAAATCTGAATATTGATATCAAGATTGATCCTAAGATTTAAAATTAGACGTAATTAGTCGTCAGAATTATGTGAAATTCTAAAACTCCACAAGTCTATTGGCTGGAACAGTTGATACAAAACACATGAAGCATAGAGTACCCTTAGAAAAGGTGGTCAAAAACATCTGGGATGAATATGCTTCACAGAAATAGCGTAAATTCTTTAAAAAAATCATATCGATTTAAACAGTAAACAAGCTAGTTAGTAGATTACTACAACTTTCATGACCAATCCTGAATAGAAATTAGCAAAATAAAACTAAATAACCTTTCTGTTAGCAAGTGTTACAGGTATATGTGCGCCATTTGGTATTAGCTCTTCATCGTGATTACAACCGTAAACATCTTTGTATGAAATTTGAAACGTATAATTGTAAATGTTCTCCACATCATCATCACATTCAAGTAATTGTCGTAATCCACTGTATAATTCCTAAGAACAAATTTGGACTTGTATAACAAAAAAAAAAAGATTTTTTCTTAGTTAAAAACATTATAGGTGTTTCAGGAAACTCTCAAATTTTTTTAAAACCAAATCAAGTAACTGAAAGCTCTTAGAAGATCTTACCGGATCAATTTGAGCAAGTTCGTCAAAAACGGCCGGCCTTGCGAGTAACTTCACATAAACTAAGGTGGGAAATCGCACATCAATAAGTATGTTGTTGTATATGGCTAATCCAAACAGTAGTCCGATTAGTCCAAATTCATCATCACAAAAGTTGCACTGAGAATTGAACCAATATAAACCCGTTTTTTCATTTAAAATGAACATGCCTATAATAATGATGAATGATGAGGTTAGACAGTATAACATAAGCAGGAAATGGAAATATATAGCAATAAATCATGAATAAAAGTAAGAATGAAGATGAAGTGGATAAGTGAACTTATGCAACTTACTGCAAGAAAGCAAATTATTATAAAAGCACATACAGGAACATGTTATTAACTCAAATAAGCATAATAATAAAAAGATACCTAATTCTTCCCATGATTCTTCACATGTCACTTAATATTCGAAAAAAGGAAATAAAAAATAGTTGAACGAACCGTAATCCGGACAAAATAGTTCATCAGTTATTAATTGGTAGAACTCTTTCGATACACCTCCTTCGTCTACAGCTTGTTCTCCATCGAACTGGATCCGAAGCTGCTTCTTGAAGTTAGCTGAATTATCCATTGCAATTGCAGCCAGCTAGAAATAATATATAAGCTGAAGTACCTAGCTCAAGGGCTAAAATTATCAGTAACCGATAGATATCTGATTTTTCAATGGGCCGGTCAACAATGACATCTATAAGCGAACTTCAAGAACTGCCAACAAAAATGAGGTAATAACTGATTGGATAGTGAACGTATTTAGTCCCAAAATATACTTCAGTATTTTATGCCATTCTTACACTAACTATTTTAATTTTTCATTCAAAGACAATTTAGCTTCCATTTCTTAACTACGGTTACTCTTGCATGCATCATCCATTTTCTACTCTAAAGGAAAATTCTTTGCACCCGTGATGAGAAATGATATTGCATTCATGAAATTCAATGGTCGCAGGGCGATGTATTTTTTCATATTGTTACACAGGAATTATCGCTTAAAAATTGAAATCCACTAATGTTACTTAATACTCTCAATTTAATAAAAAAGAATGAAATAATTAAATGTTTCAAAAACTCAAATGAAATTTGCTGGAAATTGAAGAAAAAAAAAGAGCCGTACACTATCTAAAGCATCACGTATAATATTATCGCGACGAATGTTTAATTTCAAATACGGTTCCATCGAGACACCGAATGTTATAGCATCAGCCAATGCTTGTCTACGCTCACTTCTCTGACGAATTCGATTATTTAAGTAGAGAAAACGTTGTTTCACTTCGGTTGTTAATATGAACGAATATTCGGGCATCACAGAAAATGCATGTCCATTCTCATAAGACTAGAAAAATTCATTGGTTTTGTTTATGTATAAAACGTGATAAAATAAGCTACATTTTTACAACAGCCATGTACTAATATACGTCCTAAAAGTCCTAAGCAAGATGCTATAAACTCAATTCAGACGAGAAAATGCACCGCTGGTAATTTAAAATTATAAGAGAGCATTGAACAGATTAAGATGGGGCGCAGGTAAACGCTACATTCGGCACGCAAAGCTATCCTCTTGACATAGGAACTCACTGAGTTGACGCTGAAAAATCTTATTCATCGATAGAGACCCAAAATTTTATATTAAAGATAGCAGTATGGAACCTTATATGCAACAAAATCATCCTGAACTGAAATATTATCACTCAACGTTGTATTCATCAATTCTGTTAAGGGTAAACAGGTTTTCGTTACCAGCCATGCATCAATCGGTGCTTTTCTTGCTAAACGGATTTCTTCTTCTTCGTCTAGCTCAATTTCTGCAAATGAACTTTTCTCATATAAAAAGAGGACAGTAAATGAGAACTTCTCATAGCAGGGAATCAGAAAAATCACTCGTTATTTTTTTTTTACCGAAAGGACAACAGTCAACTTCAGAAATTCGTAGGAATATAAAAAACTATTCATTACAAAAGTTTATTATAGCCAAAATAAAGTAGATAACAAACCGTTATAAGTAAACGCCTCAAGAAAAGACGAGAAATTTCGCCGCCTATTGTTTTCCCGTGAATTTATTCCATCATCTGAAGAAATACTAGCGATAACAGTAAAATCTCAAACATTGAAGATATAAGAATTTTCGATGGATAATTTTTCCCCTGTTAAAGGAAGAAATGAGCATGATGATTGCCGGAGGAAATTCATACCGATCTGCCATCTTCAGAATACCTTTTTTGATAAAAGTACTCCGAAGCACTTCTGCCATACAAAAAAACTTTTTTAATCAATGAGGTAAGATAAGAATTAGATATTATCAGTGAACGAAGACAGTAGCAATATGGAAAAGATTTATTCAATTACATGCAAACTATAGTCAACATTTTTTCATCTTCCGACAAACTGAGGGCAATTTCGCATTAATGGTAGGGTGTTAATCATAAGAGATGATGGAAATTCCCCCCCAAAAACGACAAGACTTATTATCGAAACAGCTAGAAGCTATTTGAAATAAAACGTACTAGTTTCTACATTCACTGCTGACAAGTCCGTATCATGGACTTCTGTCATTTCATTCATTGTAATGGTATCTATAAGAAAATATTAAATTAAATGTTAGAAAAGAGTTATTTTCCAAAAAATAAGGCCAAAAGATTGCGCAAAGTATTATCCAAAATCCAAAAAATATGGAAAATACATTACGTAAAATAAAAAATAGACATAAAGATATTCCATAAACATGTATAGCAAAACCACTGATTTACTAATTTTTAAGATCAAAAGGAATACCATAACAAAAGCGAAGCATACCCCGAGGCAGAATCATATCACGTTTGGATCTGATCAAAGTCGCCTTATACAATATAGACAACGCTTGAATCGCAGCAGGTAAAGGTTCAATTCGATCAGTAAAAAGTGGCAAGCTTCCAACCGCATCAATTACAGTTAAGACACGAAGAGTAATTGCCTAGAGTAAAGCAAGATTCTTTTTTTTTTTTAATAATAAACAATGATACATCTCTCCTTCTGAAGAAAACCAGAAATCGATATTTCATGAAAAATTTAAGTGAAACAAAAGTCAAATACCTGCTGCATAAGGTTAATACGTTCCTGTATCCACTGGGATCCAAAATTAGCCCACACTGATGCCAATGCCATTTGGCCTTCTTCTGATAAATTTGAGCACATTTTACACAGCGGCGTGAAGCCAACTTCGATAAATTCAAGCCATTGGACGAATGGTAATTCGAACATTAAACATATGATGTGTGTAATACCGGCTGGATCACGTTCCCAGGCTCGTTCATATTGCAGCTAAAAAGATCAATATGATTACTTAGCTGATTCGCAGTGTTATTCAAAAAATAATACAGTTATGGAGAATTTCTGAAAAGGACTAAAAAGAAGATAAACAATTAAAAGTGACATAGGATTCACTGCAAGGCGATAACAGGTCTTTACCTGGAAATCAATTATGCTACAAAGTTGAGCTACTGCACCCATTGCAGCATTTAAATAATTCGTGTGTTCATTTGTTTCGATGAAAAGTAAACGAAAACAACGTCCTGCTGCATCCATATCCGTTGGTGATCTTAATGCAATAAGGAAAGAATTTCAGAGAATTCCTAATCAATTGATAGGTTCCAGAAAGCCTACGAAAATTACTGACAAAAGAATATTAAGAAAGACCTCGATGATTAGAATTCAAATGCTTACTTTCCTTCCCGCAGTTGTGCAATGATTTCTGAAATCTCTTCCACTGACCGCGTAGCTTTCTCCTGCAATATAAGCGACAATAAAATTATTTCTATATCAGCTATGCGGAGTACAAACAGAGCATACGATGGAAACGATTTATTACAAAAAAGGAACGAATAACACACTTTCTCTTCGAGCTTTTAATTAGCGTATCTTTATTTTCAACTACCTCATTTATCCATCCATAATAAGTGTAACTCTTCTGCGATGCGTTGCTTGCATACTGCATACTGCTTGAATCAGATGCTGATCTGCAAATAAATATTTTTTCCCTTTCTCCTTCGCTTTTGAAATATCGTCATTTTTCTGACGATTAATCCAATCCGCACTACAAATTAGTTTTTCACTAATTTTTGCGAAAAATTGAGTCCACGACAAAACAAGCAATAGTTATAAAGGAAAATACCTTGCAAGTTCACCTGCCAATGTACGAGAAAGTGACATGCTAGCGGAGGTATCTGAATGAGAAGATTGAGTTATATCCAATGCTAATTCACTGCTTGTTTTTTCTCCACGATAACATTTTCGATCTATCTCTTCTTCTATTTCTTTCTCTCCTGTAATATTCGTGCAATTTCAGCTAAAATAACAGAAATGTTTGACGGGATTTCGGGACTTCATTGCTTGAAATCCAGATTCAACAGTGGAAAAAAAAGGTTTGACTGCACTGATTGGATAATAATTCACCACAGTTAACAGTGATGGAAGAGGTATCTGTCTTGGTTTCCAACTGCAGTTCTGTACCATCTACATCGGCCTGTGCTCTTCGTTTTCGTTGTGAAACTGACTGTTGTTCGATTGATGTACCTATTACTCCAGAATCGACTGCATTCTGCAACATTTAGAAGACATCCGTCAAATAACTTGAGATTTCTTTTTCTCCTGGTATTATTTCGATTCTTATTTATTTCTCGTCATGTCTCAATTTTTTAATATCATTTTGAATTTTTTCATATATTTATTGATGTTCACAGAACTATTCATAGAATAAGAGCAAAAATTACTCCATCTAACTGTGCCCGAAAACTGTTCCTGCGGAATGAACTCAATAGTGCTACACGACTGCCTAATAAACGTTCTAGATAAGCTCGTATCCAATACCAATCATCCTCTGCCCGACATTTTTCCAGTAATTTTTTCACTGTTTCTTCATTTAGTGATTCCTGAGGATCTGTTGCTTTCACTGTCAAAAATTCTGTAAATCGAAGCTGATAAATCCACAAAAAAAACAGTCAACTGATGAGGAAAAAGCAAAATTAAAACTTGCATAAGCGACATTAATACGTAAATTGAGATTAGCTTATGCTGAGGAGTGAGAAGGAAAGATTACCTGCGAGAAAATTACCTCGATGAGATTAAACGGGAATGGTAAAACTCACTAACAATAAAAACAATGCATTAAGAAACTGAGATTTTGTGATGGTCGTGAGAAATTCCAACTTAAAGGATATATTTGATTCAGTTTATTTAAGAAACGGCAAACTGCTTACATTTCATATATTTCTTTTACCACCTACGATCGAAAATTTTCAATTAAAAAGATTAATATTTACCCGGAAGTGGTTCACATAATCGTGCCCTATCTCGCAAACAAATAATTGCTCGAGCCGCAGCTTCATTACTTGTTAATTTGGGTAATTTTCCGGATGATGCGCAGTTCTCATTGGAACAGTATAATCGTCCACAACCCACCAGTAACTGCAAAAGAGTAAATAACTAAAATGAAAAGATCCTAGGGAAGACATTCCCTAGAAAAAATATAATTATGCATTGATTTTTTCAAAAGTTTAAGGTAGTTTTACACGAGATTTCAGTCTAACTAGCTTGAATTTAAAAATGAGGTCTAGAGTGTGAAGGAACAAACTCTAACTTCTAGATTCCTCTAAAGAGAAGACAGAGAAATTGAATGATTATGAACCAAAAACAGTGAATGTTTAACAGCCCTCCGCTAAACCATATATAGTTAATATGTTATATTCCGCAATGAATTTTTCCCCACTCATACTTTTTTCGGAGTAGATCAAGAATATTCTTGCCAAACATTGGAAAAAAGTGGCTTATGCTTTATGTTTAACGACTCCTTCTCATTATATGAAATTCAAACAAAAAAGAAAAATATACAAAGGAAGAAATGAAATAAATGGCCAGAAATACAGTACATTAAGCCAATAAAAGAAAGCACATCAAACCAATACCTAAGATCAATAATGGGAATTTCGAGAGTAAAACACAGAAATTCATTCTTAATTAACCCCATGAGACAATTAGTACTAATCTAAAACATAACATAAATGTTAATGAAACGAGTAAATAACCTGTTTATGATACTTCCCAATAGCTATCTTCAAAGTTTGCGTAGGCCCATGCCGATGAGTACTATCTTGTTCTTGTTCATCAGATCCATCCATTCTTGAAAAAAAAGACGATGTATCCTTCTCTACGGAGTCACTTCAGGATTCCGAATCCGTAAATCAGTCAGAGTAAGAGTACAGTCAAACAAAAACCCCTTGTAACTAAAAAGAGGAACCCACACACACACACATACACACCTATAAACCCCACATACACACGAACCAGGAAACATTACAACGAAACCAATCACAAGACCGTATCCAAAATATCGTTTTAAGACTCACTTTAAAATTAAACTTGAACTTAAATGAGATGCACACCGTTACGACCAATGATTCCGAATTGGAAATAATTAAATTTTTGATGAATTTAAGTTCTAAATTTCCCAATAACTAAGAAGTGTTAAATTTGCATATTTTTGAGGACATCAATAAGATGCTACGCCGTCGTTTCTCTCATATGGCCCACTCAGTAAAGGGTTGTACCGATGACCCTTCTTACGATAGTTTTAATCCTTCCTGACCGTAGTTTGAATCTCTTCTGACGATAGTTTGAATTCTTTCTGATCGTAATTGAATCCCTCCTGATGTAAGTTGAAAATACAAATTTTTTACTTTTGCTAATATCTGTTTATCGGAATGATGAAATGTTACAGCGAAATTATTGATGCCAAAATTTATATGGCCGAAGGAAAATCAAATTTTGCAATCCTTAGCCATATTTACTCCCTACGGGGATTCTCAGAATAATCAATGTGAATAACAAAATAGGAAAATTGACATGAAGAAAACAGAAAGAATAAAGGTTTATAGCAATGAATAACGAGTTCATATTCTTGTGACTAATTTCATTTGTGAAAAGAGGCAATAATAAACTAAGATTCCTTTATCCATGTGGCTTTTGACAAAAAGATGACCTGTCCATTGGTCATTTCTCTTTTTCCCTCCCTTTGCAATTCATCAAACTTGATTATTCATTGCTTGGGATTTTAACCAGCCTA